TTCCTTACAGAATTTTGGTATAATTTTGGCTACTAATCCTAATGCCAACTCTAACTGAAATGTCACATTTTAAAAAAACGGTGACATGTAAATAATCACAAATTATTTCAACCAATAGAAAGTGTGGGTGAAAATTAGTAAAATCGTAATGAAGACACGATGAAAGTGCCGATGTAGTCACGATAAACTTTTTACCCCAGGCGTTTAATTTTACATGTCTTCTCAACTTCCTTTTTAGGTATATTTTCATGCTCTATTTCTCCTTTTACGTTGTAATCTCTAAGATGGCAACTTCACATGATTTGAGCAGTACATAAATATATCCTGAAATAGCAAAACATGCATTATTCCAATTATCTTCTTTTTTTTCACACAATGTTAGGTTCTAAACGCAAGACACGTTCGTTGAAGAGAACCTTTGAAGAGGATTTAGTCACTTGGAAACCAGTTATAAAAATCTTGGAGAAGCCTAATGTGTCCAACCGACTTCTCGAATACTTATGTAGTTTAAAGCGCAAAATCCTTTTAGTTAGCGAAAAACAACAAATACATAGAAATTGGATCGACTTCATTGGCGAAATACGGAGAAAGCATCCTTCAGCACGGATCTAGAAGCTAGCGAAAAAAAGCATTGACAGTTACAAGGTGCTGTATTTGCACTCTCATTAAGATTGAGCAGAAGTTGGCCGTTCCCTCTGCATTCATCCTCTGTTTTGATTGCGGGGAAAGATCCTCTGTTTTCTGAGAACGGTACCAGCGGGAAGATAGGGAGCCACGGTGATCCTCTGTTTTCACATTGTGGTAGAATCCTCTGTTTTTCGCCCCTATTTTCACGGGACTCTGTCAATTGTTGGTCCATCCTCTGTTTTGGCGCCACGGTCGATTTCGAGTCCCTTGCTTGATCCTTTGAGATACACTTTTCGTTTCTTTTTGCTTTTAGAGTTATGATTTGTGTATAATTTTTTTTTACTTTGATAGAAAGAACTTAAATCCCAGGCTGTTATTAGTTTTTGGAAGAATATCAGTAATCTACAAAATAAAGCCAGGCTCGGCGAAGAACTTTTTACCATGCACTTTGAAGGATTTACAGAACTGGTAGATATTAGAATCTAAAACCAATGATGTTTTTTTTTTCATTTATGAGATTGTTAGTTTCTTGTCACTTTTGCTTTTTTAGTTTGTGAAGTATTCGTATGGCAGGTTACACAATGAGCTCAAATATCATTTTTGCCGACAATAAAATCTTCAGATGATCGAGAACTATAGCACCTTGTACAAACTTGTAACGAATCTTTATTTTTCATATTTTTTTTTATGGTAAATAATTCTTTATTATTAATAACGATAGAATACGTAGTAAAATAGTAAACTATAGTATTGAGTATAATAGTTTCCGACATTACGTAATGGTCGGAAGATCATCTGACTGCGCTCTCGATTGTTGCAGGGACGATGATTTTCTGCGGTGACAAAATGCCAATTCCGTCCGTGATAAAAGATGATTCTGCAAAAATTCTGCGATTGGCCGGAATTACGTAAAGTCGGCCAGCATTATGATCCACAAATTCTGGCCGAATTAATATCAGCCGGCATTATGATGACTGTAGACCCTAAATCCAGGCCAAAATTTAAAAAATCCGAACCAATTCCGTGATTTTCTGCAAAATTCCGTGAACGCAGGAAATCATCGTCCCTGGATTGTTGGTAACGCTGGATTTGCTGTTAGAAAACTACGTCAGATCGAATTTTTCAGAGCCCGACGATAGATTCTACTTAAACGGCCAACTGTACAAAATATAATTGAAACTCCTACGATGGGTTTTCCCTTGGCGACGCTCCTATGTAAATTTCCTTCTATCCTTTAATAAGTAATAAGTAATATTTTTACTATTATTAGTTATCAAACAAGGGTTTCGAGATTCTAAACTTGTAAATTTTTTTTTTATGATTTCTTGTTGAACTATTTCGTTAATTCAAACTGTATGCGCGTGCCAAGTCTTAAAATATTATAAAATTTTTATGTACTGTCATAAAAGTTTTATATGAAGTAATATAATAAAAAAGATAAATGAGTATAAATTATATGAAATTAAAAAAAATTTTTTTGGAAATTCTTTTGGTCAATCTATATTTATGCCTTTTAGCTTTAATCATAACATGTATACATACATATCATAACAGTTATTGCTGCGTACGTATAATGAAATGAGTGTCGCTAAAAGAAAACCCGAAAATTTAAGTATAAGTCATATTTAAATTTTCGGATTTTCTTTTAGCGACACTCAAATACACTACATAAAAAATTAGGATATGGCAACATAGATTTAAAGTTGTACGTATTGATTATAGATATAATATATTATTTAAAAGTTACTAAACTTAATTTGCTTAACAAGAAAAAAGTATAATTATTGTATACGTAGTACACTATCCCAATATTAAATGAATTTCAGTTTAATTACATTTGGTTATGTCCTTTTTTATGATTTATATTTTGTCAAGGCAATATATGTAATATAATATTTAACCAATAAAATTTATAATCAGTTCCCGTGATACTAGGAAAAAAATACTACGTAGCTAGTTATACGTATGTACTTGAAACCGCATAATTATATATATACACTACAGTCAGACCTCTATATAGTCACATCCTATATAATCACACCTCTATATAAGCACCTAATTTTGGTAAACAAATTCTGAAATTACTGTAAAATTATAGAAAAAACCTCTATATAACAATCTCTTTATAAGCACATTTTTTAAAAACTTACTATCATCCCAACTACGTGACTATAGAGAGGGTTGACTGTATATATTGCCAATCGTTTAAATCTTTTATATACTAATATAACTTTTTGAATAAATTTACTAATATCGATACAACTACTAATTGTTTTGATTAAATTACTGTAACATGATTTTAAAGTACATAGATATGTGCAGTAATATCTGATTATAATATGAAATCATTTTTATAATGCTTTTTTTATCATCTAAAATACCTCCGTCACTACAATAAATAAAATTTAAAAAATACATAGACCTATGTCAGACCAAAAAGGCAAAAATAAAGCCTTCTTCCTTAATCCATATTGATCTCATCTAGACTCGAATCATTGTGATGCTCAGGTGCACCAAATCCGGCAGCTGAATGAAGCGAATGAATTCGATGTTGTTGTTCAATAAAGAATGTCGCAGATTGTGTTCGGGGTCGGACAAGAACTTGTTCAGCATTGTTAAGATAAACAGTCTCAGAAAACATATTAGGTGAAGGACTAGCAATTCTGATGAGGGGTACAAGAAGGCTTCCTGTTTTAAGAGGGACAAGGGTTATTGGAAATTCTTTTGTTTCTCCAACCTATGTTAGTTTAAATTTTTATATTAAATTTAGGGTGACACGACTTAAAATATTATTTATAATAAATTTATGAAAACGAACTTTCGATGAGAAACATAGCTTCTTATGTCCAGCCAATAGCCAATTATCAAAATCCACATGAACATCATAAAAGAACTCAAAAGTGTCTTTGTGCTCAGTCAATGATGTGTGATTCCAGTATGACGAATGTCGAATAATCAAGCGACAATGGCATGGCTCTCCAACTACCAAATCATTAGGTTTCGAAATAATCAATTCCACAGTATTGAGCACCTAATGTTATAAGTGAAAATATAAAATTGGTTGAAAGCAATAAAAATAATAAAAACGAGATTTCAGAAAATTGCCTTCATACTTTAGATGAAGGTACATCAACGGGAAATGATATTGATGATTTGACATCATTAGAAATAGCTGCAATATCATCATATTCAGCTTTATTGCAGACCTAATGTTAAAATTATAATAATTATTAATTAAATATAGTTCATAACTAATGTCAGATATTAAAAAAAAAGGTGAAACTATCTTAACCTGCCAAAATTCCTTGACAACCTCTATTAACGATTCTTTGAAGCTACCGTGGCTCGTAAACAAAGCCACACACTGCGAAACATCCAATTCACCCAAATCCAATATATCTGACATTCCATATGAGACATAGTCTACTGATTTAAGTAAATGTTCTTTAGCATTCTCAAGAAGGAACCGTGAATGTTGTAATAAATTTCTAGCTTTCAAAATTTTATTTAAAGTATGCTCAATATATTTCTCCACCTCTAATTCAAAACAAGAATATTAGTAAATAATTGAAATTATAAAAAATGTAATTTTGTAACTAAAAGTAATTCGTAAATTATTGACTACCATTTTGAAGTGTTCGAAATGTGACTATAAAATGAACTTTAGTACTTGGTGATTTCGCATGTTCTCCGTGATCATAATCTAAGAATTTCAAGGTATAAGATCATGTGATATACTAATTTTAAGAATTGTATTATAATATCTAATACCTTTTGATCTAGTTAGTTTGTAAACAAATGAGGCATGTTGCTTGGCAAATAAACTCTTTGAATTGAAATCATTGAATCATATTGTTAATTAAAATTTTTAAGCAGATTGAAGAATACACGTTATTATATAGCTTACTATAGCCGGTGTCGATACAGCTGGGTCATCCGCAACATCATACACTTTTGATGGAGCAAGGGATGTTTCAAGAATGCGTACTGGAATACTTCCATTTAACGTGATATCCATCTTTACGAATAAACTTTAAAATAATAATGTTATGACTTCATTCAGATGCTGTAAAACAACAATTGATATGAAAAAAAATGCCAAGTTTATATACCAATCATCCCTAAAAATGTTTAGTTCTGTAACCGATAAGGGTAACCAAACTTTGACAGTGTCTATGGATGTGAATACACGTGATTTTCCTTTACTCTCATATTCAACAGTAATTTTCACCTGGTAAAATGGACGGGATTAAAAGTCTGCAAAGAAATTAGACAGAGCAATATTACGATTAACCAATAATAAACCTTATGTTCAATGGCACCCCAATTACAGTCGTATGGTAATTTGAACTGGCTTAATTGGTTCGTCCGCAAAGAAGGTAATTTTATATGCCCATTTTCCAACACTTCTAAATCTTCTTCTAAAAGAATGTCTTGTGATACTACGTCATCTACAAAAATGATTAATATTTTTAGTATGTTCTGAGACAAAATATGTTTTGATAATGAGGGTTTGCTATTATAAATATAATCTAAGTCTATGTGCTAAATTTTTAATGTTCCATGAATATAATTTCATGCGGTGAATCATTTAATGATGGGTCCAATTTTTGATAATTTAAATTGGAAAATCTCCAAACTATGCTAATAATCAAACCATTTGATATGTTAGCAAAACAAATACGCAAAATATTTAAATTGCTGTAACAAGTCTTAAATTATGCGTTAACATTCTGTCGATAAGTATACAGTACCAATGCACATGCAATATTTTTCGTATTAAAAATTATTAAATAGAGGATGCAATAACTACATATGATTTGAGTGTTGTCCAGTGTTGGAAATCCGATGTTCTCATGTTCTCATGAGAACATAACCTTTGGATTTGAGAACATCTGTTACGTTGAATGTTCTCTATGGAAAGAAATTTCGAGAACATGTTGCTTGAATACGTATGATACTGGGTGAGGTTAACAATTAGAAATTGAGCAAAGCTCCGAAAAATTCCGGAAAGAAAATGAACGAACATAAACCGAAAAAAAAATTAAAAAATGCAACATTATTGAGAACATAAAAATTTTGCTCTCACGAGAACATAAATTTCAAACCAGATTTCCTACACTGATACTGCCAAGGGAAAAGGTCGCCTCGGTTTTTTAAATATATTAGTCTGATTCAGCCTTTCTGATCGATAACATACGGGTTTAAATTATATCGATATAGTGTACATACAAATAACAATAATTGAAATCCTGATGTGCGTCGGATCAAAAGGGCTGAAACAGACTAATAATCAATAAAATACTTAAAAAACGGAGGTCCATTTTCCCTTGCCAGCACTCATTTATTATTAATCTTTCGCCACATCTGATGTTGGTACTGATTTTGGGGGCTACTTTAGTATAAATTTTTACAATTTTGGAGTGCATTCTTTTTAGATAAGCGGTTTTTAATAGTTGTAGGGGACCGACATTGAGGCTCCAAAAAATCAGTATTAGCAGTGACAATCTTTAATGAATACATACCATTAACAGATTTAGTGACGGCATGATGCTTGTTGGCCGTTGGAAAAGTTAACCCTTCAGACAAAGGTTCCAATATCAATGAGCCTTTAGTGACACTAGTGAGGCCAGTAAATATTTGAACGAGAAAATATTGCTGCTCTCCGATATGAACTAAACGAATAGATGCGTCAAAAACAAATAATTAAATAGAATGTGAGTAAGGGTATCAAAGACCTACTTTCTTCCGGAGCTATTATTTGAGCTCTCAAAACTGCGGGATGTTCATTAATCCTGAAAAACTTTTTTTTACTTTCGTTTAAAAAGTTATGTGTGAAAACTATTTTGCCTACAGACATGCGAACATTTTCAACAACATAATTTCCTGACGCACTGTTCTAAAAATATTCATTCAGAAATAGACGTCTTAATAATATTTCTTTCCTAAATATAAATGTATGCAAATTACACTTACATCAGAATATAGTTTAAATGTATTCAAGCCATATTTGAATTCCTGATTTAGAATTTCAAACCAAATTTCTTCGCTCTGACCACTTACCAAACGAATGGCAAGTTGATCGAATGTTAATGACTATTAATGGTAAAAGATTCATGAATGTTTGCCAATAAAAACGTGTAGATTGTTAAAAATTATAGAGTGGATAATAACTGTTGGTAAATAATTTGTCAATTCAACTGCCAAATATGGTCCATCCTCATCTGTTATATCATCAATTATATCTGTTACTGTGACTAGAAACATTGGTTTAAAAGATCTAACAATGTCTACAATTATTTCCAAAATGTTTAACGTTAATAAATAATAATGAATTAAAGGTTCATGAAATATATGTTAGGTTTCTACCTTCGTCTTTTTCAAGAGATCCACACAATTTTTTCACTTCTTCCATATAAAAAATAGCTTCTTCTTCAGATAATAAGGTATGATTCTTCAACAACGATAAACATGATAATACATATGTGTTAAATATATTAAGGATTTGGTTGTATATAAAAAAGGAGAAAATTTAAGATATATCTTCATCAATGTTAAAGGATATTGCTTAGTTCGACCCAATTCTTTCTGGCATTCAGCATACTTGAATAAAAGACTATTTTCAACAACAGTCCACCCTTGTTCACCATATGCACATGGTAAATCTTCCATTAGTTGTGATGCACTCTCAAAATTTTTGCGATGACTGTTTATAACAAGAGATTAATATACAAGGTATACTAAATTTAGAAAGACAACCGGAAAGGAACTTACAATTGTAAGGCAGCAACATCTCCCTGCAGGCGATATGAACTGCGAAGCCGAGTCCCTTCATAAGCTTTAAGGCCTCTGTTTGTCAATTGCTGTTTTATCGCATTGAATTTTCATTATACGGGACCATCATAAAGACCCATATATATTTATGTATATATAAAAATAACTTACTAAGTACAATAAATCAAAAGCAGCGGAATCGTCTGATTCAATAGCTCCCTTCAGTTCCTCATTGGTTATCGAGAATTTTTTTTTTGGTTCACTCTCTGAAGATGGAGAAACTGGAGAAACTGGAGATGTTGGAAGCGATACTTCGTCTAAAGCGGTAGTAAACGGAAGTGCGGCAGGTAGGTGGCCATAATGAATGCCTAACTTATCAAGCTATAATAAATAATGTATATTAAATAAATAAAAATAAAATAAACTGTACATATGTAATAATATACCAAACCAATAAAATGTTACCTGCTTCCTAGCTAAGTCCAATAATTCTCCTTTAGCAGCATTGAAAGCACTCGAAGTAGATTCATCCAAGGAAGTTAACGGGGCCAATTCTTCGCATTCGCCAACCACACTCATACATGATGAATAAATCCATGATTCTAAAAAATGCTCACCAACATTTGCTTGATGCTCTTTTATTGCCCTCCCAAATGTAGAAATGAAAAGTTGTGCCCTCCGACAAATTTCCACCGGCCTTTGTAACCTCCCCAACAAGTGGCACTGCCTTGCAAAAAGATAACATCTAAAGTCAAACTCTGGTAACTTATTCTGCCTTATAAGGTCACGATAAGGTTTTTTTTTAACGTCCAATATATTGGCACTGTCATCTTTGATGTCTGTAGCACCAAAGTCACCAAACCACGCCAGTGCCCTATCTAATTAAATTGATATGCGTAAGAAATATATGAATAATAATAGATCAGAAATTCTAATTAATTATCTGTACCTCTCAGAACTTGGAAAAAAGAAGCTTCTAATTCATCGTATTGAACTAAAGCTTCCTCATACAAATTAAAAACTTCAAATGTCAAAGCCAATCCTTCCTAGTCGCGGATAAACGTATAAGTAAACATTTTTGCATAAAAGCATTCTCACATTACTACTCTCAACTAATAAGAAAATTTAGAAATACAGAATTACCTTTAAAACAAAAAAAGTACAATAATTCCAGCCAATCATGCTTCTCTGTGAATCGAATCTTCGAATGTCGTCTTCATATTGGACCACATGTTGATCGAAACTAGTCAATATACCCTCTTTTATTTTAGCCATAAGCTCTTGCCAAGAATCGTATTCGTCAGAATCATTATCTGATAGTCGAAGTTGGACACATCTATAATATAAATGTAAGATTAGAAAAAAAACAAATAAAATGATTATATTTAACTTACCTATCACGCCTAGAAGCATTAAAATCAGCTTTAATTTTATCAAAGACTGTTCCTTTCATATTCATATTAAAATATCTAGCAGCACGAAGAGCTTCTTGTTTTGTCACATAAACTATCAACCACTCTTGATTTTTTTTTGAGGGAGCAGTAACGATGTTAACCCAATCGCGAATTTTCTGCCGAACTGTTTGACGGTATATTTCATTATCCTACAAATAAGTAAGATATTTCGCCGTATACAAAAAGTAAAATGAAGTACTTTAAGTACGAAATTGTATAAGTGGAAATGCCGAAAATCGACCAAGCATCTAGGTGGGGAAATCTTCACTGATCCAACTCACATCACAATTAACAAAATATAAATTAAGGTATGGCTTTTCTAGTAATGTCTCGGGCATCATATGTGGCTTCTCAGTACTCTCTGATGTGAACCGTTTCAGATCCACGCCCAAAACAATTATATTACGTGTTGAGCCTTTTGCAGATTTCCAGTGGAGATTGCGAAGGGGAAGGTGAGTACGGAAATCATCAGCGATCTTTGGCCAAATGCCATACTCATCGAAATCTACGCAACGAAGATTAATAAGTTAATATACGAAAGATGAGAATTTACAAGGCATTTATCATCCCTACATGTTACTATGACTTTCTTTCCGTCCATTGCGATCTCTAGATCTATCGATATCAAGAATTTTTACACAAATTAACCGGAAAATTTGACATAATCGATTCATATGATTGGTTAATTGATCATTTTCCAGTTATAAACAAATATAATTGGGTGTTAGGATAATCTGTGACATTGATTGATCCTCCCATGATCTTGAATAGTGATCTGATCTTTTCAAAACTGTGCCTTTGGTTTATGGCATCACATTGTACACAGCCGGAGTCGTTTCCGTAGAAACATCATGACCACGCGTTCTAAACGTTAATCCACATCAGAATCATCGGATTTTTTAACTGTACTCCTTATAACCATATGTAGGTGCATATCAGGTTTTCTTTGTGATTGGATGATAGACCGGCGATTACCGTTAAATACTTTAAAATTTAAACCGACTTAAAATTTTAATACCCAACCACTATAACTGAATCTTCGAAACATGTAAATTAAATTATTTAAAAAATAAAAATAAAAATATTTGCAGACGAACTATTTAAAGTTTTACTAAATATTACAAGATAAATTGGATCAAAAATTTTAATCAACATTATAATATAAAAATTTTAACTTTACAATAGTTTCTGAAAGACATCTTTTATGGTCGTTAAGAATATTTTTGTAGACTGAAAAACTACATTCAACATTCACGCCTGAAGCAGGTAATCAGATGTAAACTAATACTATTTTAGATAAAATTGGTAAAGTATTCCTTTTTTCTATCTAATAACTATGTATTTTAAGTCAAAATTTTTATCAAAAATTTCCCGTAAGTCACAATGTATTCCTCATTTGATAATCAAATAATATAAATTCGTCAATTCTTTATAACTATCTAAATTAAGTTTATTATTTTGTGCTTGTATGTATCTTGGGTCAAAACATCTAATTGCTCTAAAAAAAAAAGAAAGTGCATTATGTCTATCAAGATATTTTTAAATTTAGTCCAAGCCAAATTATAAGGTTCATAAAAAATTTATATAATGTACATTTTTCAATTAATTTTATATTTGGGATTTTTTATAGCAAAAAGATGTATTGGAACAATTACATGATTATGAGAAAATTGCATTCTAAAATTGTCAATCAATTTCTCAATTTTATCATCCTACTTATGAAGATTTTTTTAAAAAAAACTTAGTTTCTTATTTATTTTGTAAAATTATAAATATTTGAACTTTGTATCTTCATTTACTAATATCTTATTTATTTATTTATTTTTTAGCATCATTTTTCTAGTAAATAGATAGGATCTTTTATTTACATTATTATTGCAACATAGCAATTACATATTATATTTATTTATAATAAGAATCTAATTTATAAAAGTTTTTTTTTTTTTTTTAAATATTAAGATGAGTACTTGTGACCCAGGATTTTATTGATAGTATATTTGGTTAATGATTGCATTACAATCATAGAAGGCAACCATAAAGAGAGTGTACAACTAGTCACTCATACAATTTTAGTCATTGTCTAATTTAAGTAGTCTGCCTGAAGGTTCTACACTAGTTGTCATACCTGGAACCCACTTATAGGTTCCCTATTTAACTATTCTGTTTCCTTATTCACCTATCTACCTCTGTCTACCAATAACCCTGATCAATGCTAATGAAAATATGTCATGGTTACTAAGTCTTTAAAGCAGTTCACTTATATAGGAAACCTTTGACCTTGTACTAAACCTTTTAGAATCTTCTGTATCTCATTCTTACAGTTGACCTAGTATCATTATGGTCAAGATCAATACTAGCAGTCAGGTCATATCATTAAACTGTTATGTCCTTGTAGAGTTCATCCCAATTCTGGTACTAACTTTACAACATATCCTTACTATTTTGGTATTCAATTCAAGTTCTATTAAGTTTTTATTTCAGATAGCTCAGAAAGGTAGAATGAGACCATACCTTTGGTTTACATATTTGCTAACATGTACTCTTTTCTTCTAGAATCCAGAAATTCTGATAGCTGGTTGGTTCATCCAGTCCCTTCTCAAAGACTAGCATATTTGTCCAGTTTCACAAATTCTAACTCCATTCATAAGTCTAGTCTTTACAGTAACACCATCAAAGGTTTGGATTATCTTTCTTTTTGGGTTTTCCAAATAGGCTTCCATCTTCCTACTTGGTTCCTGTAATTTACACAGCTTAAAAACTTATCTTGGGTTCACACTGTCCAATACTGGTTTGTGTTCTCTTATACAATATTGTACAAATGTCTAGACATTCAGTCATGTTGGTATGATATAAGTTGCAGGTATCTTATCCTAACCAATCACAGAAGACAGTTAGCTGTATTATAGAAAGAATTGCAAATTTTTACTATCATTAGGATTTGAACTCTAGACCTGCCACTTGGAGGTTAACAACCTATCTACTTTACTAGATTGTCACATTCTTTCTAATTTATAAAAGTTTTTATTATGCTATATTATTTTATTTTATTTAAAGTTTTTTATTTGATCAAATCAAATTAAAGTAATTTTGAAATTCAGTTTTCAAAATTGATTTAATTTATTAGCAAACTAAATAAAGATTAAATTTATTTTATGTTAAGTTTTATATAAACAGAATTTGTTTTATAACTAAAATTGTTATATATTAAACTAAATTCTAAACAACTTATATTGTAATAAATAAATTCTTTATTTTATTATTATTTATTTTAGACTTTGGTTTAAAACAGATAATATTACAAGAAGATAAATTAATATAAAGTGCAATTTCTTTATACAGTTCCTTTTGGCTTTTTAAGAAAAGTAGTTTAACACCAAGTATAAAGAATAAGATATCAATATTAAAAGAAAAAAACAAATTGTAAACTTTGTATAATTATTTTTAAGATTATTTTTATATAAAATGACTTTGAAATATTAAGATATAAAATAAAAGTAATGCTATTTTGATTGTTAAATAATTTTTTATATATTTAAAAATAATTATTTTTAAAATCATCATATTGAAAACCTTGTTTATTAAAATAACTTTAAGTAATATTAAAATGAATTATTATAGAATAATTAACAATTATAATAATATCATCTATTATAAAGGCTTGCATTAAGTTCTGTATTTTGACTTGGCCTAGTCTAATCTATAAAAATTTGTAGATTAGATCAAAACTAAAGCAAAATTTTATAATTGCAAATCAGACCAGATTGAAAAATTTTTAAAATTTTATAATAAATTTTGCAAACTATACTAAACTAAGCCAAACTGAAGAAAAAATTTGATATATGCAAACTAGACTAGCAAAAAATTTTTAACTTTAAATGCAAACTAGACTAGGTTACAAAAATAAACAATTTGTAGATCTTTAATCTATTATATTTATTTTACTTTTTTGATAAAAAATCTTAATTAAACTAAAACAATTATTATAAATAAACTTTATATAACTTAGTATTATAAAATTTAATTTAATTTAATTTTAAGATTTTATAATTTTTTATTTATGCAATGTATTGCCACCTATATAATTATATGTAATATTAAATTAAAATAATAATAAAATATATTAATTTAAGATTAGGATTAGCATTAGACTAAAGTTAAATATGTTTTTAGAAAAAAAGCTTTTAATCTAAAATTTTGCAAGGAATTTTTTTAATTAGAATGTAAGATGTGGTTTTATATGCAAAATCTTGAGTTAC